TGCTGCTGCTGCTGCTGCTACTGCTGCTGCTGCTGCTGTTGCTGCTGCTGCTGCTGCTGCTGCTGCTGCTTTGACTTCGGTTGGGTACCAGCAGGGTAGCCATGTTGCTGCTTCTCTGGTATGTTTCTATCTGCTGCATTTCCTGCTGCATTCCCTGCTGCATCTCCTGCTGCTGCTGCTGCTGCATCTCCTGCTGCTGCTGCTGCTGCATCTCCTGCTGCTGCTGCTGCATCTCCTGCTGCTGCTGCATCTCCTGCTGCTGCATCTCCTGCTACTGCTGCATCTCCTGCTGCTGCTGCTGCTGTTGCTGCTGTTGCTGCTGCAGAAGAGAGACTACACAGTGGAGCAGTTTCGTCAGGTTGCTGACGCCTGTCTNTGCTGCTGTTGCTGCTGCAGAAGAGAGACTACACAGTGGAGCAGTTTCGTCAGGTTGCTGACGCCTGTCTCCGCGCTCACCCCCGCATGAGTATAACAACAGATATCATCTGCGGCTTTCCCGGGGAGACAGAACAAGACCACCAACAAACCCTAGAACTACTCATGCACTACCACTTTCCTGTAATAAACCCTAAACCCTAAACCCTAAACACTAAACCCTAAACACTAAACACTAAACCCTAGAACTACTCATGCACTACCACTTTCCTGTCATAAACCCTAAACCCTAAACCCTAATTTCTAAACCCTAAACCCTATATCCGTACAGCTGCTCATGCACTACCACATTCCTGTAATAAACCCTAAACCCTAAACCCTAAACCCTAAACCCTAAACCCTATAAACGCCAGGCAATAGAGCTGCTCACGCACTACCACTTTCCTGTAATAAACCCTAAACCCTAAACCCTAAACCCTAAACCCTAGAGCTGCTCATGCACTACCACTTTCCTGTAATAAACCCTAAACCTTAAACCCTAAACACTAAACCCTAAACCCTAGAGCTGCTCATGCACTATCACTTTCCTGTAATAAACCCTAAACCCTAAACCCTAAACCCTAAACACTAAACAGTAAACCCTAAAGCCTAAACACTAAACCCTAAACACTAAACCCTAAACACTAAACCCTAAACCCTAAACACTAAACCCTAAACCCTAGATGCTAGACTTAGGCGGGGTGTTTCAGCTGTAGATAGAAAAGAAATGCTCAAACTCTTTCTGGGTTTTATCACGACAGAGAAAAACACACAAGTGCAGTGGTAATATATAATAAACCCTAGTAAACCCTAGTAAACCCTAAACCCTAGTAAACCCTCATAAACCCTAAACCCTAGTAAACCCTAATAAACCCTAGTAAACCCTAATAAAAGATAACAAACAATAAGAAACCCTAATGAACCCGAATAAAACCCAACAAACCCTAATAAACCCTAGTAAACCCTAAACCCTAAACCCTCAAGACCCATACTACTGCACCCTTTTCAGCCCCATCAGAAAGCGTGGCTGCCTGGTGTTTCTGCTGCATGCATTCCCCGTTTACTGCTGCATGCATGCATGCATGCATGCATGCATGCATGCATGCGTTGTTTCAGGCTGTGAATATAAGCCAGTTTTACCCGCGCCCCAACACTCCTGCTGCAGCAATGAAACAACTAAACTCTCAACTAGTAAAGAGACGCAGCAGAGAAGCAACGCAGCTTTTTGAGGGTTATACGTGTTACGATTGGATGGTGGGGACTGTACAAAAGGTTCGTACTGCATGCATGCATGCATGCATGCATGCATGCATGCATGCATGCATGCATGCGTGTATGTTGGGTTTTTTTGTGGGGCTGGTGCTGCATGCATGGGTTTGTATGCAGCAGCAGTCAGACTTGTAGCAGTACATACAGATATTCAGAACACATACACACGTGCTTGCTGCTGCATGCATGCATGCATGCGAGCTACTGCATGCATGCATGCATGCATGCATGCATGCATGCGTTGTTGGGGCTGTGTGTTAGGTTTGGTTTTCTTCTCACTCGGACCGGAGCGAGCACACCGTGGGGCACACAAAGCAGTACGTGAAGGTCCTTGTAGACAGGTGCGTTTCTCCCCCTTCTTTCTTTTTTTTTTTTTTTTTTTTTTTTTTTTTTTTTTTTTTTTTTTTTTTTTTTTTTTATTTCTTTTTTCTCTGCTTTTGTTTTTGTTGTTGTTGTTGGTGGTTTTTGTTGTTTGTTGTTTGCTGCTGCTGTCTCTCGAGCCGCAGCCAGAGATATCCCGTGTTATGTAGGCATGCGCTTCATGCAGCAGCAGCAGCAGCTGCTGCTGCTGCTGCTGTTGCTGCTGATAATGCTGCTGCTGTTGCTAATGCTGCTGCTGCTAATGCTACTGCTGCTCATGCTGCTGCTGCTGCTGCTAATACTGCTACTGCTGCTGCTGCTGCTGCTGCTGCAGGGACGAGGCACTGCTCGGGAAGGTGAAGATGGTGCGGGTGACAGCCGCCTCCAAGTGGCACTGTCTGGGGGTTCTCTGCGACCCCACAGCTGCCTGATGCATGCAGCAGCAGCAGCAGCAGCAGCAGCTGCTGCTGCTGCTGCTGCTGCAGCTGCTAAACGGCAGCAGCATTAGAGCTGCAAACACCCACTGACATGGTGCAGCTGCTGCAGCAGATGTATGCTGCAGCTG